AAAAAAAAATATGTAGTGTTTTGTAAAATCTTTCAGCTTTCCCAAAAATATTTTACCATCGTTATTATTCTGGCAGTTAGAAAATAAATTTCCTGGAGTCAATTTTGTACAATTAATTGAAATAAGAAATTATCCATACTTTAAACAGTTACAACTTTTGAGTTGTATTAAAAAGATTCATCTATTTAAAGCGTGAGGCTTCTATTTTTTTTACTACCTTAAATTCGTCTTTCCCCCCCGAGACATTTTTACATCATGTAGCAAATGGAAAAAAACTTTTAAAAAAAATTTACACTGTGTATGTAAGAATACTGAAAAATTTTATTTATGATCCATCGTGGTCTTGAAGATTGAAGTTCAATCCTCTCTATTCCTTAAAATTCTTTTTATTGAACTTTGAACATTAGAATTAAACGACAAAAATTCAAAAAAATCCTAATATTTCGTCATCTAACTCTAATTCAAAGTTCCATAAAAATGGCAAAAAAGAGATCGTACAGCAAGGTTTAAGGAGTTGTCGTAAAGAAAAAAATTTCAATTTTAATCTGGTGCATCCAAGTTGTGAAAAAGATTCTTCAATGTTTCTGAATTTTTACAATTTTCGAGAATAAAAGTACTCTTACTTTCCCGATGTTAAAACATCTTTGAAAAAAAACTTAGGACAGTCAAAGTGAAAGCTTCACGCTTTAAAATGAGACCGAGTAGATTGTTGTATAATTTTCTTTTGAAATTATAACAGTATATTTAAAGTATCGACAATTTTTTTTATCATTATACATTGTAATTCTTTGTAACAGCAATTTTCACCTACGACCTAATACCAGGTTACGTTAAACTTTTAATTTTAACAATAAAATTAACTAATTTTAACAAAAATAAGTTCAGTTCAAAAATTGATTAGTCATAAGTTCAATAATAAAAATAGTATTATATATGTAATTCTATCGAAATAAAAGTCAATCGATCGGAGATAAACGAGAGCGAGAAGACCAGCAAATATTAAATATTATCTTTTGTTAATTATTTTTGATAAACAATTCAGATCATTTCAGTGGTTTTTATAATTCTGAAACTTTCCTTTAAAATTGTTAATTTTACGTTTTCCGCAGTCAAATACAGATAATGGAAAATAAAATTGCAGCATTCGTTAAAAATCGAAGTTCGGCTGAACCGCTCTTAATATAAATGTATCGAATGCAAAAGTTATTGTTCAATGTGCATTATTTTATTTATTTATATAACATAACGGTCAACCAAGTTTTTAAAAATTTTATGTTATGGACATCCGGACCGTAGTTTTATTATTATTTATGAATGCAACGAAGAGCATTACTTCATATTCTTTGCAACATCGTGCGATTAGAATGTTGCATAACTATACATTCACATTTTCAAAATTTAATTTTGTCTTATTGCTTCACTATTGTATTTCGTTATAAAAATATCGTTACACCATTATAAAAATACCAAGTGATTTATTTATAACACCAATTAACTCTTAAATTTCAAACCGGAATAATAGCTAATTAACCCTTTATAACGAGAATTTCGTTTACTTATAGAAGGAACAGATTATTAATTAATTATAGGTATTTATCTATTTATTAAAAAACTGGGAACTAATAATTAATTCATCACTTGGTATTTTTATAACGGCACATTGAAAAAATATAATATAATATAATATATAATATAATATAATATAAAATATAATATAATATAAAAATATAAAAATATAATATAAAATATAATATAATATAATATAAAATATAATGTATAATATAATATAAAATATAATGTATAATATAATATAATATACAATATAATATAATATAATATAATGTATAATATAATATAATATAATATAAAATATAATATAATATAAAATATAATATATATATAATATAATATAATATAATATAATATAATATAATATAATATAATATAAAATATAATATAATATAATATAAAATATAATATATAATATAATATAAAAATATAATATAATATAATATATAATAGTGAAGAAGTAAGCAAGAAAAGTGAAATTTTTAAAATATATGAATATACAGAATGTATCTAGTAACTGGATCGGGCTATTGAAGATAAAAAATAATTGTAGAGGAAAGTTTTGCATGGTTTAACGAGCTTTGTTATCGTGTGATGCAACTTTTAAGACGCAGAAATGCAGTTGTAGTTTCAAAGTGCAATTGCATTCGTTTCTTAAATGTTGCAATTCTACGATTCTTTTTGCACAAGTATTTTGAAAAGTAAGTATCATCAATGTAGACTAATACTTTTTTACTCAGAATGAGGAGTCGATTCATGCAGAAATAACCATGGAGTTGTATTTAAAAAGATGAGTACAATTGCACTTTGCTAATCCTCGCAACTTCTGCAAAAAGTTGACGATAAAGCTCGTTAGATCATGCAAAACATTATTCTACAATTTTTTCTTGTCTTCAGCATCAACTGAGTTATAGCCCGATCCAGTTACTGGATACACCTTGTATACCTTGTAATTGGCAAGTTACACGATATTATAAATTATAGAGAGTTAATCAATAATGTTTCCCTATGTGTCGATGAAATCCTGATTATAGACGATAGAATATTAATTGCCTAGTTTTAGCAATATATCGCAACTATCGTACTTCTTTCTCTGTAAACAAGAAAGATGAATCTAATCTCGATCACCGTGTAAAGATAGAAAAAGAGAGAAAAAAAAATGGCCTTTGGCTACCGCGGTGCGTAAAACGGGGGAAAGAAATAATAGATCTTTTTCTCT